TGCTGACACACTATCGGTTTCGTCGGAAAACGTGTTTTCCGTGTTTCGTTAAAACGCGTGACTGGTTTATTTACATGCCGTTCTTTCCCACAACCGTAGGAAACATCCGTTTTAGTATTCTTCTGTTTGAGCACTCGGCCGAGCGGTCGTTACTTCGAACGTTCTCCTGACATGTTTGAACGCAAAGTCGGGCTCTCGCGTTACCGCGCGCGCATCGTCGAGGCGAAAACGCGAACGTTCCTGTCCACCTTATTCTCGCCGGTCGCCGGTGTCGGCGCGGCTGCGACGATCCCGGATGAATCGAATACAAAGCGGTATAATTCGCGGGTAAAATGGAAAACCAATCGACGACGACGATGATGACGCTGATGACGACGGTAGCGCGCGAATCGTTTCTCTTTGTTTCGCATCCAGGAAGAAGAGAAATATACAATCTTATGACATCGAGGAACAGGGCAAACGCGGCGAACCCATCTGCGTCAACACCCTATCCAGCCATTGCAGCGGACCGTTTAAATGCAGCTCGATCCAACAGGGAGTCGATGTCACGGTTTGCCGTCGATACGCCGCTCCCCAGCCTTTCACGAAGCTCATCCTGATGGTGCACATCCGAGTCAGCTGATACACCGCCTCGAAACCTTGGGATACCGACTGCGACAACAATGCGGCGAACTCTTGATTATTGAAGATCTTCAAGTTGCAGCCTGCATCGCAGAAAAAAAAAGGAAAAACGATATTGAGATATCTGAAGCTCTCAATGCACCATGCAGTTCTTACCATTGAGCCTTCAAGTTTTGAACACGCGTATAGTTATATGCAATTCGAATGAGATTCTGTTAGATTTTACGAGACGTCTAAACATATTCCATTCAAAACCGCGTTCCGACGGAAATGACATTTTAAAGGACCATCGGGGTATAAAGGAGCGAACTATACCCTTTCGAAAGCGAACCAATTCGAATCTGCGGTTGCCGGCTATCGATCCGAAACGCGAACAGGCTACGTTTAACAAGTGGACCACCGTACGATACAGAACAGTATCGTTGTAGCACTTGAGCTGCTGATAAAGCTAGACGCGATGTTGGCGAAACGTTTAGAGGATTTCACTGCGAAGGACAGAGCTTGAAAGGCCTCAGGAATAATAAGAATCGTATGGCAACGGGGGGACAATTAATCGCCGGGCGAACGGTGGGGAACAGTGCTACTTACCGGGTGGTATTTTGCAAACGGTAGCCGGATGCCAACCGTAACGCTGGTTACAGTTAGGACTCTGGACAAATATGCTCGAATCGGAGAGACACTCCGCGAACACCTCCCCGCCAATGTAATAAAGTCTGGCTCCTTTGCCGATGTGCCGTCTCGTTTGCTCGACGACGGTGTTGCGATTAACGTTCGACAATAATCCCAGGCAGAAACGCTCGGAGTTGCTTGGATCGGTGAATCCGTCGACCGTGATGCTCGGTTGTGACGCGTGGAAGGTCTCGCCCACTCTTGTATTCAGTTCGTAGTAACTTATCGAACACCTAGCGAACAGAACACGAACGAAACGGGATACAAAGAACATTCCATGATGAACTAAAAACCGTTCGCAACGCCTCCATCCGCGGTAAACGAACGTCTCGGATACTATGAACTACCACTTGCACTACTTCAAAGTCTCATTCGCGATCATAATTTCCTAAACTAAACGGGCCAAACAAGAATATCACTCTTTCTCGCGAGACGCAAGAATTGCCGGTTAAAAGTACGAATCTTCGCTTGAACCGGCGCGGTCCAGGAATGATCGGAGACTCACCAGAAGGCAGGCTCGCAGTACATAACTGGTTGCGCGTCGACTGGACTCGGCGACAAACGCGACAAAGACATGTTGTCGTTGTGATCCATGTTGTCACCATCCTCGCTTATATATCCCGGAGGTGGTGTGTCCGCTGGAGGATCCATAGATCCAGGCGCCGGATGCGGTGAACCCTGAACGCTTCCTAGGCTCCCCACACTCGCCGGACTCGTCGCTTGCATACTCTGGTACAAGGAAAAAGAGGAATAGAAACACGTCGAAGCTTCGTTCGGTTCGGAGATTCGAGAACGGCGGGGAGTCTAACCTGCATTCCTTGATACGGATTGTTTGCTTGTTGCTGCTGCTGCTGTTGTTGTTGCTGCTGTTGTTGCTGTTGCTGCTGCTGTTGCTGTTGTTGCTGCTGCTGCTGCGGAGACTGCGGTATACCCTGTTGATTATGATGCTGGTGGTTCAGCGTCGCGTGGAAGCTAGTGTTCTCCGGCACGCTGACGCTGAGCTCCTCGAGGGAGGTGTTGTAGAGGACGGACTCGTCCCCGGCTAGGTTGTGCCGCGGCACGAGAATGGCTGGCAAAACTGCAACGTTTCGTGCGTTAATAGTCACGCGATCGCTCGATCGTTTTGCTTACGGTCGTTACGTTCCAGCCGATTAACCCTTTGAGCGCAACGGACGCGTATACGCGTCCAGCGAAAGCTATCAGCGCGGACTCCGGCCGCGTATATTCGTCCAGTAAAAGTTACCAGCACGAGCTACGGACGCGTGCACGCGTTTCGTCTATCTTCTCGATCCCCCACGTAGAATAAACCGATGCGAATGAAATCGCAAGGAGAATCGGATCAAAATGAGAATCTAGTTTACATTTGTCACACTACGAATCACCTACATTTCACTTCCTTCTCGTCTGCGAAAGAAACCTTTTGTTATTTTTTTTTATGAAAACGATCCGTTTCGCTTCGATCTATCATACCGCCGCCACGAACTTCGGTGATTATTATTGTTTGCGCCTCGTGTAATCGATCAACGCCAGTGAAACAGTGTTCCGTCCCTAGCGATCGCAGTCGCTAACCGTGCAACGTTCTCTTCACCCACGCGGAGCGCTTCGACTGAGCGAATTCGGCGTTCGAAGGGTTAATAGTTGCACGAGTACGGCCACGTGATTCTGCCCAAAAGATGAATCCGTTTCGACGAGATACGCGCGAGACAGTTTCATCCTCGTCGACGATAGAACGAGAGGGAACGCGCGCGCGGGAGAGGACGACTGAACACGCGGTGGCCTACCTACCTGGCGTCTGTATTCGTTGATAGTGATACGGATTCACGCAGACCTCGTCCCGCTTCTGCGTGAACGCGTACTCGCAGTGCTCGATCGCCCTCAGCTCCTGATGCGACTGCAAGTCCGGCCAGCGCCAAAGTCGGCAGTAGATCACGTGCGGCAGACCTTTGCCGCGAGCTCCTTGGACACCGTTGTCGCCGACTCCGCCCGGGCTAGGCCTTTCGTTCAAACAAATCAAACCTATTACCGTCTGTTCGATCGATCCTACAGCTTGAGATTGCTTTCCGAGGGAGAACAAGAACGATTAGCTCTCGATTGGCGTCGTTCGGCGAATAGCGTAACGTTTGCCCACGGAACCGGAAACGCGATCCTCTAAACCATGCGGTTCTTGGCGTGTCCGCCGTTGGAGACGATAACGGGAACGTTAAGAACAGATCCCCGAGCGACGTCGATTTCTCAGAGTCATCGTCGTTGCACAACTTTCTTTCTCCATTTATTCAAAGAGGACCGACGCAGGACGGTCCATTGAGAAGGGGGTATTCTAACATCTTGCCGTGATTCGCTTACGAGACCCGTCGTTACGAACTACGTAAGCATATTTCCTAGCGGACAGATACTCGACGTCGTCGAGACGCGAGTTCTGCTTCGAAATAACAAGCGACAGGCTCTGTGCGCCTCCTCGACGTTAACGGCGATATTATATAACAGTCATGGATACGTGACGGCGGTCTCCCATGGAAAATCGCACCGCGCGAACGCGTTGACCTCGCGCAATAGCGTATCTTTGACCTCGAGAGATCGGCATTCCCCGCGACATCGCCGAACGAGTCGCTCTACTCGCGGAAGCGTGGCCGCAGAAACGGATGCGGAGGTGCAATCTCGACGTGGAACCGCGTTTAACTGCGATCTCGTCCCGCGAGTGCCGCAAATTGAATGAAACTCGAGCGCGCGACGATCTCCGAAGATCTACGGGGCGCGCCGCATCGGCGAAACGACGATCGAGCCGACCAACGGTTCTCGAAAGTTCCGATTTCCGTCTGCGACGCGAACCGCTCCGTTTTCAGTTTCCACCGATGGAAACGACCGTGGATCCAGCGATCCTCGAGCCGATCCGATCTCGATTTTCGTTCCGCGACCGTCGAGGATCTCTTTTCCCGCCGTTATGGTATGATTCATTTTCATTTTCCACCGATGGGAGTAGCCGCGGATCCAGCGATCCTCGATCAGATCCGATCTCGACGTTCGTCTCACGACACAGTCGAGAATCCCTTTTTCCGTCGTTCTACTTCTGCGATTGTGCCTCGCACAACCTTCCACTTTCTCTCTCTTTCAACCGGTCTATCTGTCGCTGCGTCGCGACGCGTGCACGATCTAGGCGCACGGATACTCCCCTTCGCCCCGATGAAAATCGCACGACATCTCGATTCGTTGCATAATTAGGAAACGGTTCCCATGCGCGAGCTGGACCTCGATTCGCGGATTCACGCTCGACGAGCGATCGGTCCAATTTCAATCGGTATTTTCCGAACGACGACGCGTCGCGATTCGAGAACTCACTGCCGCGTCGGCACGTGCTCGACGAAAGGCGGACAAACAACTAGATACGTCAGAAAGGCGGCCGCCTGTTCGCGGAACGCAGGTGTTTCTCGAAACCTCTCCGTTCCGTACGGAATCGGGAGAAAAACCGCTTCTCCGCATCCTCCCGTGGCTGATTCTCGAATGACGACAACACGCTGCCAGGAGTGTACAGTGTACAGAGTTACCCGGTAATATCGGCGGCCGATTCAAAAGTTCCGCCGACCTATTCCTTCGCGGTTGCCATCGATCGTTTCGAATCATTTTTATCTTTGTGGTGAATACGAATCCAGTAACCGTGACACGAATCACGAGGCACGGCCGCTCCGGCGAGCGAACAATTTTCGGTGTGGGCGTAATCCTTATCGCGCGCTGTTCGCTAGCCGCCGCCGAATTGCCCGTGCACGCCGAACGATTCGTTTGCCCGTCGATAGCGGCGACGGTATTAAAACCGCGAGGCGATCGAATCCGAGGAACAGTGAAATCGCATCAATGGAGGCCGAGAGAATGCGGCGATCCGCGCGGTCTCGTTCCTTCTGCGACGTTAGCCGACCGGCTGACGCAGCGTTTCAGCTCGCGCGAGGACTCGAGGAATCGCGTTAGCCGTGAAATTCTTTCCGCGTATGCACCGAACGAACGGTAGCCATGACTCGATCGAAATTG